GGGGTGCGTGGGAGGGAAGCCAGCACTGTGTTTATCGGCTTAGCCAGTGGGGAAGCCGGCGACAGCACCGGTAGCAGGACCAGAAGAGGAGCTGGCGGGAGCCTGGTCAGCGTAGCTGGGGAAGGAGCCAGCGGCAATGTTGGCCATAGAGCCGGAGGACAGGCAGAGAGGGCCCCAGGCAGCCTAGCTGGGGAAGGAATCAGCTGCAGCACCAGCAATAGAGCCGGGGGAGGAGCTAGCTGGATCCCAGACTGCAGAGCTGGTAGCGAAGTCAGCTGTGGCGTAAGTGGCAGGAGCGGCGGAGAGGCCAGCCGCATCGGGAGAGGGGGCATCGGGGAAGTAACCAGGTGCCCCATACCGAGGGGAGCCGGCGGGGGATGCGGCGACCGACGCAGGTTCCAGGCTGGAGGGGCCGGGCTGGCGTCCCTATAGGCAGTACGCCCAGCCCGAAGACCGTTGTTGACGGCCGGCATATTGAGGCGAGAGGGTGGCAAGCCAGGACGACGTTGAGGCCATAGGAGGTAGAGCCTAAGGTGGCGAGTGGCCAGGGTGTAGGGGAGGACGGAGCCCTGAGATTACCCGTCGAGGAACGCGCCGACGCCGGTGGATACCCCAAGGGAGGACCCCCCACTGAAGGTACCATCAAAGTCATGGCAGGTGAGTTCAGGGGTCCCCCTGATACCAGCAGGGTTAACCTCCGGGGTGCACTCACGAAGCCAGGGCACACGAAACCTTGGGCCCGGGCAAAGGCGGCGCGGGAACACCTAGTAGAGTGGAGGCGGGTACAAGGTGCTAACAGGACATCTTTCCATTGGACAACCTTTGTGGGAGGTGGGAAAAGCGAGGGAAAGGACTACTGCTGCCCAACATACTGTTGGAGTGGGCGAGTTACTCCTGGCGTACTGCGTTTTCCCAAATGAATGCCAGGTTCCCTCATCCTTTAGTAAAAGTTACCTTTGTTACACTCTCTCTCTCGCTCTCTCTCTTGCTCTCTCATTCCTTGTGAGTAGAAACTGTAAGTGCCCAGGGCAGGTGGGACGATCCCCTAAATTCTGGGTCAGGGCTCAAGCCAATTATTTGTAATTTTACCAAGAAGCTCTAAATACTGAAGCCAGCCATTGCTGCCAATATGCCTGGCAGAGGGTTACGTGTGCATCTGCAGTGAATTATATGAAGCAACTCCAGCTGATGGGTATAAATACTTGTTTCTCAGTGTAGTGCTGGCTCATGTTGCTGCAAGCTCCTTGAGCCTGCAAAGCAAGCAAATGAAGCTGGAAGAAATCATAGTCATGCCAG